TCTTCCTGTCTACAAGAGATAAAACCATAACACAAAAGGAAAAATGTATCTTCTATATGTGCCGGTGGTACTGTCAAGCTTATTTTGAAATAAATATGCAAGTTGTGTTGGCCCCAACACAACACCTGGCACATATTAGACTTAATATTTGTTAAATGAATGAACAATTTTCTTCATCTCTCTTATTCATTTCACCTCATCCCATGTTGCCAGACATCAGGGAAGACAGGTTTGCTTTAGATATGGTGCGCATGGAGGAGCTGAGCTACATGCAAGATGATGTAAATAGGGGGACATTACAAGGCCTCTTACTGAGACACAAAAACAGTGGAATCTGCATCAGAAGGGCCTTTCATTGGGCAAAGAAGAGACCATATAGGCCACACCTGCTATTAATGGCCATTTTTACCTCACCTCTGAATCGTAACCTCAAATCTCCCTGGCCTTGCCAGCCCAAGTGTAAAATTGGATTGAGTTAGTCTCCTGTCTTGAGAGCTGTAGGTCAGGTGCTCTCAGAGTCATCTCCAGGTCTTCCAGCCGCCTGTGCTCAGGCGTGTGTCCGTCCGTTCCTGCTTTTTCACTCCTCCTGTAAGCCAGGCTGCCCTTGGAGCGCCTTGGCTTTATTATATGGCTCTGTCACGTGCAGCTGTCTGCCCTCTCAGTGGCCCGCTCCGTGCAGGTTTAGTGCTGTGGGAAACTTCTCTCCCCAACTCTGAGGCACACTGGGTCGCCTGGCTCCGACGCAGGGCGAAGGCCTTCACGGAGCATGTCCTTGGCTTCTGACACTATCCCCACCTATTTATTTATTTAGTTATTTAAATAAATGGCCTGCTCTCGCTCTCCTCCCCATCCCAAGCTAACTGCCCCCACCATGGCTCAAAATCGGCCGCACAAATGGGCCAGAGATCTGTTGACATTTTCTTCTCTCTCCTTGGTTCTCATCTTCCCCTTTGCTCTTCCAGGCCCTCAGTCCCCACCCGCATCTTCACAATCTCTGAGGATTATTTGGGCAGAGCATTAGCTGATTTAATTAAGCAGCAGCTGTGTACCTAACCAAGAAGTCCAGTCCACTTTCAATATTCCATTTAACCTTGCAAATTAATCGAGCCCCTCTTGTGCCAAGAGGTCACTAATACTGCCCAAGATCAAACAGGAAGCCGGGGTGGAGCCAGGACTGAAACCCTTGCCTTCCTTTGCCCTTCGCTTGATGGCACACACTGCTGTTGCAAAGCCACTTCCGACCATTTTAAGATAAAAATAAAATTCAGAACTTTGCTCTTTCAAGGTAAGACCTTTCAGTTGCCCTCTTCTTCCCCAATTTGCTCCTCCTTGTGCATTCTTTATCTCTGGAAATGGTGCCACCACCCACTCAAGTTTCTCAAGCTTGAACCTGTGAATCATTCTCTGGCCTGCAACCTTCCTCACCCCTCACCAAGTCCTGTCTGTGCCACTTGCAAAATGTAGCTCAGCTCTAGCCCACCATTTAGTCCCTGCCCAAGCCTGTCCTCAGTCCGGACCACTCTGATTTCTCTCCTGGCCCACTACTAGTGACCTGTAACTGGCCTCTGTGCTTCCCTGAACAAATTGTCTCTTACTGGGTCTCACCTCCCATGCAGGCCTTCCTGTGTTTGTTGACCCCATTTCAGAATATTCATAAGCGCGTTTCTCCAGCTCTCCCCTGGACTTCCTTTGCTGGACTTTGTGGGACTCTTCCCTGCTGGGTCTGGACAGCTACAGAGAGGCCCCTGCTGTGGAGCTGGAAACAGATCTGCAGGGGTTAAAGTGTAAGGAAAGAAAATGTTGCTGCTCTAAGCACAAGACTGAGTATTCCAGTGAAAACTTGCAGAGTGGTTTTTAATTTCTTTTCATGAGGTTAGTTACAAAGAGGCCAAGTGGTGCCCTGGGGAGAAGACAAAGGCAGTGACAGATGGAAACCCTGGCAACCAGGGTGCACACACCCCTTTTCTAAGGCCCAGGCATGCTCAGTCACTGTCCAGGGTACATGTGGGAGGGGAGGGTTGGCCCTTGAGGGGGCAGGGAGCACAAGGGGAATGCTTGTCCTGTCCAAAGGAGGGCTGGTGGGGCTAATTTGTAAATGCCACTTGTTTTAGTTACTTTTCTCTTGTTGCTGAGACAAAATATCTGACACCTAGAATTAAAGGGGGAAAGGTTTATTTGGCTCACAGTTCAGAGATGTTTTAGTCCATAATTGGCTGGCTCCAAGACAGGGTGGCAGAGGGGCAACAGTCCATGGCAGCAGAAGACAGCAAAAACAGCAAGAGACCTGAACAGCATCTTTCTGCCCCTTTAATTTTCTTCAGACTACCTAGGGTGAGAGCACTCACACCCTTAATCCTAGTACCCCCAGGCCTAGCTCCACCATGACTCAATCGCACTCTAGATTCAGCCACCTCTGAGAAAGCGTGAGGCTTTGGGGGATATCTAAACACAAGCCACAACACCACTGATTTGGGTCACGGGTGAAAAAGCTCTGCTATCACGTCTGTGAGATTGATTAATGTCAATCTCCTCAACTAGTCTGGGTCCTGGCTTCAGGGGGACTGAAGATGGGACTGGGTCTGGTTTCTACTCTTTGTGTTGGCTTAACTTGGTATCGGACATATAGTAGGTGCTCTGTACAGACCTGTGGAATGAATAAATGAATGACTAAAGTACGTGTGTGTTTATATAAATGTATTATATGGATACACATATGTATTATATATGTACACATACACACAAAGTGTAAGTATTCAAAGCATACACACAACATATATGTGTAGGCATATATGTATCTTCATTTGTATATACATTGATATGCAGAAAGATGAGGCTTCAGTTTGGTTTATGCCCACATATAAAGAAAAAAGGACATGATAAAGCATGATAGGGAAGACTTTATTCAGGACCGTCCCCATAGGTATGGAGAGTATGCCAGTGGGGTCTCACAGCTGAGGAGAGACTGTGCTCAACTCTGAACACAGCACAGGAGAGTGGGAATTTACAGCTGAGGAGCAGGGTGGGGGAGTCAGCAAATGGAAAATTATTATCAGGAAACATCAGAGTAAGGGGGATTCTGGCTAAACTGCCCAAGTAGAATTCTTGCTGAAGCCAGACCAGGGTGCTCAAACTTCATGGAGGTGGAGGGTGAGGATCCTGGTCAGATATGGAGGGTGATCAGTATCAAGGAGAGAGGGTTCTGGCTGAACTGGCCCAGCAGGACTCTGATAACACTGCATTTCACAGGAAGAGCATAGACAGGCCCAGGAGAACGTTCAGAAGGCTGACTAAAGTTCGGCCAAGCAAAGAATCTTAGTCACCACACATGTTTTTCAAATATAACATCAGCCATTACAGTTTTGCTAAAAGACAGGCAGTAACCCTCAGGTACTCGACATGAAGTCTTACTTCCTTTATCCTGGCTAGTGGAGGCTTCAAAATAGGGATTGCCTTTTGGGTATGTGTTCCTCCCCACTGGGGTTTGATCAGTCATTTTGTGAGTGTGTGATCTAAAAGTACCACGGCTGGGTTGGGGTGTAGCTCAGGGGAAGAGCACTTGCCTAGTGTGTGTAAGCTCTTGGGTTCCAGAACTGAAGAAAAAAATGTCATTGCTTTATTTATTTATTTTTTTTAGCCAAACAGTTTAAAACTTCAAATTACCTTAGAAGAAGAGGGCATGGGATTTTTATGTTTAACAAAAGAAGATAGAGCTTAAAAATAGTTGGAAAAAATATGATTCTAGAGGAAACTGGCAAGTACCACAGGAAGGGCTTGTCTTATATATTATTACGATCATTTAAAAAATCTCTAATTGGGGCTTGTGTTGGCTGGGAGGACAATTCTTCTAACAGGAATGAAGAAGCCCTTTTTGTCATAGTTATTTTTTTTTCTTTTGGTACTGGGGATCGAACTCATGACCTTGTGCTTGCGAGCCAGGCGCAGTGCCACTGAGCTAAATCCCCAGCCCTGTCACAGTCACTTTCTTCATTGCTGAGACACAGTACCTGACACTTGAAACTTAAATGAGAAGAGGTTTATTTTGGGTCAGAGTGTGTGGAGGGCTCAGTCCCTAGTTGGCCAGCACCAAGGCATGAGGGCATGACAGAAGCATAGTGAAGGACAGCTGTTCATAGCATGGTAGACAGGAAGCAGAGGGGTCAAGGGAGGACTTGGGAGGGCAGATAAACCCTTCCAGACCACACCCCAGTAACCAGCTTCTTCCCATCAGATCCCATCTCCTAACAGCAAGTCAGCTGTTACCAATCACCTTCTGAAAGCCCTGCCAATGATTGCATGAGGCCCTTGAGGGACATTAGATATAAACTATAGCACTTTGGAAGGGAGGTAAGTATCTCTCTTTTTCCTCTGTGTAGATTGGGGTGAGTTTGTATGCTAGGACTGCATGGAGCCCAGTTTAATCAGATGGAAGAAAGATTGGTGTGGAGCCTGGGACAGAGCTGACAAGTAGGAAGAGGAGAGTGGCAGGGAATACAGTGCTTTGTAGAGGCAGGAACTCAGAAACCTCAGCAAAGAGACAGTAGATTTGAAGCAGGATGTTCCTATGATGACAGTGTGTTTATCCTGGTTACTTAGCTGTTAGAAACATCACATTCCAAGTCTGGTGCCGTGGCATGTCCCTCTAATCCCAGCTATTCTGGAGGCTGAGCTAGGTGAATTACTTGAGCTCAGGAGTTTGAGATCAACCGGGGCAACATGGCGAGACTCTATCTCCCAATAAAACAAATACATTTGGATTTAAATGAACAAACATTAAACATAAAATCATTTTTAAGAGGTCATCACATTCCAAAACACATTTATCTTAGTCCTTTATTTTCTAGGATTAGTGAAAAAGCGGAGACTACCATTGTAGGTACCTGTTTTGTGCAAGCCTTTCCTGACTTGTGATTGTGCAAGCTTGACAGTTGAATGGGTAAAAACTAGTCCAGGTTTTTGTGCACGACAAGGAAAGAATCGCCAAGTGTGGACCTTGTAGAAGTAGTTAAAAAGCTACATTTATTGACGATCACGTGATGGTAACAAGAACAGGCAGAAGGGCAAAAGGAAAAAGGAAGAAGAGGAACTCTCAGTCAGTCAAGTTAAGCTGCTGGTGGTGGTGGTGAAGTTCTCGGGGAAGGAGCTGGTGGTGGTGTTGACGGTGTGTGAGCAGACACCCTCCAGGCTGGTGCGTAGCTCCCAGGCTCTGAGCTGTGCTGGCCCTGGGAAGAGGAGGAAGAGGAGGAAGAGGAGGAAGAGGAGCCTTCAATGGGCAGCCACACAACAAAGGCTTCCAGTATTCAAAGGGTCGGACACCTCTAACTTCAGTGTCTCCCATTGTGGTCAGACACCTCTGACGCCAGGTGTCCCTCGTTTTGTCTCTTACGGGTGTCAGAACTAATGCTGCCTCGGCATCTCGATCTCCTACGCTTAAATATGGATAATCACTAGGGCGATGATGTGCCCACAGCTGAGTGAAGGGAAAGGCGTGGCTCGCTCAGCTCCTCCATTTCTAACTGTATCCCAAGGGCCCTGGGTGAGGGCTCCTGAACACCGAAGAGAAAGCTCTTTGCCCGTAAGTGCAGCTCTTGGTACTGCTCCCCGTGTCCAGGGATCCGTGCAGAGGCAGAGGACTCCAGGCGTGATACACAAGCTTGAGCACGGAGTTCTTTGTTAAGATTCCTGAGCCCTGGTGACTGGAGCCGAGGGGCCCTAGCTGTCTGTTTGGAATCCCTAGTAGTTTTCTGCTGCTTAGCTTCTATGACTGCCCCGTGACCCTAATGCTTTCAGTTGTAGTATTCCCGTTCCCCCGGTTTTAGAGAACAAGCTTGTGACTGGCCAATTACAATACTGTATCTCACAGCTCTAGTGATTGGGTCAGTAATTGACATGTATTCTACTGAGAAGTCAGTGAGGGTTTTTTGTTCTGTTTTTATGTATTTATTGTTGGTCGGAGACAGCTGTTGGGGCCATTACATGGTGCTATGGTTTGGATCTGGAATGTCCCCCAGAAGCTCATGCTTTGAAGGCTTGGTCTCCAGCTAATGGTGCTCTTGGGAGACGGTGGGAATTTTAGGAGGCAGGGCCTAGTTGGAAGTTAGGCCCCTGCGGGCTGCATCCTTGAAGGGGTTATTGGGACCCTGGTCCTCCTCTTTTTCCCTTGTAGGTGGCAATGAGGCTTTGCTCCACCATACTCACTCCCTGACATGATGTCTTGCTTTATCACAGGCCCCAAAACAATGATCCAGCCCACCATGGACTGAAACCTCTGAAATCATGAGCCAAACTAAATCTTTTCTCCTTTTAAACTGATGACCTCAGGTATTCTGTCACAGTAACAGAAAGCTGAGTGACATGCATAGCTACATGGATCCTGTCTTAGTCACTATTCTTGTTGCTGAGACAAAATACCTAACACACAAAGTTAAAATAAGAAAGGTTTCTTTTGGCTTACAGTTTGTAGAGGTTTCAGGCTGGCTCCAAGGCAGGGTGGCATGGCAGAGGAGCATTGCAAAGGAGAAACAGTCCATGAGAGGAGAAAATGGTCCATGGCAAAGTGGGGCAGGCAGAAGGCAGCAAAGCAGTGAAGCAACAAAGCAGCTTCTTTCTGTCCCTTATATTCCATACAGGCTACCTACCCTTGGCTGGAGCAACATTAATCCTAGCATCACACACCTTAGATCCAGCCACCTTTGAAAAGCCCCACCTATGACCACACGAGGCTTTTGGGAAGACATCTAGATACAGCCATAACAGATCCTAACAAGTCCAACAGAGGGAAACTCAACATTGGGATGCATAGAATTAGTTTTCATTACATCATTTGAACCATTGGATCAAGCCATACCTGATGTTAGCTACCCTTGGACTTTTCAGTAACACAAACCAATAAATAACTCAATATCCTATGTCTTTTTTTCTCTCCTTTAAACCTGTTTGGATATATATTCTGTCAGTTGTGATAGAAGCATTCTTAATGGAGTCTGACTCCTTCCCCCTGGAGATGTTATATGAGGAAAGATCATGACAATTGATAAATCCACCATTTCCATCTATTGCTCAAGTTTCAAAAAATGTAATTCTTTTCTAGGTCTACTGTTTTCTTTTAATGTCAACTGTTGGAGTACTTTTCGCTCTGAATCAATCCAGCTCTATAGGTTCAATTTGACTGGGCCTTTGAAAACAAAAGCCTGTTATTTCTACCATAAAGCAAAGGTCACTTAGATCTCCAGGAGACAAATGCTTGGCTATTCTTCCAGCAAGGAGGAGGGAAACTTCACCTTTTCAACTGCCTATGCTGGAGGAAGTAAGCTCGAATAACTATCTCAGCAAGCTACCTGTTAATTAAAGCTTTGTAAAGCTAACTCACCCAAGGCCTTCTAATAAAGTCCTTGATAATTGACTCACCCTCGTGCATGTGTGAAACATCATATAGATAGGACGGCAAAGCAAGGCAGAAGGTACCTGGTCCAGCCTCCCTAACCAGTGGACTCTTGGCCACTGCCTGTTGGAAAAGCTGGATGGTCAGAGCTAAACCCACATGACAGATTGCAAACTGAAACACTCCCAGAGACCAGGTGGGTAACAGAACCAGCAACCTGGGGTGGGGTGGGATGGGATGTGGAGGAGCACAGGGAGTAACGGGGCCTACTGTGAACAGGAGAGAATGGGTCAGTGAAGCAGCCACTACGCAGCTCAGACTGTGGTCACCATGTGGGAAAATGGGCCCAGTATGACGCCCATTTAAGGGACACTCAAATCTCACAAGTTCTAAATGTTGGCAAGTTCTAATAAGACAACAAAAGCCAAGAAAAAAACAGTACTGCCAAGCCAACCAAAACACAAGCAGGCCAGGTCAGTGTTTTTAAACCCCTACTACATAGTCTATAATTATTTATCTTTACCTCCATAGTGTATCTGTGTATAAATTTGTGAATAGTGTGGTAAGGTTATTTTGAAGCATCTTTTTCTTTTTCTTTTTCTTTGCTTAAGTCCAAAATAAATTGAGTCTCTCAGGTGTCACTTTCTTTAGAAACTAGCTTTCTCCAATGTCATGTGCTATTGGACGGCTGCCCAGCTTGGGCCATTCTGGGTGATGGGTATCGTTCTCTTTAAACACAAGGTTCTTGTCTTAGTCACTTTCTTACCTCTGAGACACAATACCCAAAACTTACAAAGGAAAAAAGGTTTATTTTGGCTCACAATTTGTAGTCTGTAGCAGCCAGCTCCAATGCAGGAAGGGATGATGGAAGGGTCTGGCAGAAGAATGCTCCTCACATCGTGACCACTGAGAAAGAGAAAAGAGAGGAGCCACGGAAGGAGACATATGTTTCTGGGCCACCCCCCTCCAGGTGACCCACCTCTTCCGACTAGGCCCCATCTTCCAACACCAAGCTGGCTGAATCCAGGTAGCACCGCCTGAATGCAATCACCTTCCACAAGCCCCGGCTCTGAGTGCATGAGGCTTTGGGCGACATCCAGATATGAACCACCAACAGTCCTGCACTGCCTTCCCTTTGGAGAGAAACATCTCCTGCTTTTTGTGCACATGGTTTGGATGGAGCTGAGTCAACCTGAGTCATCCAGGGTCAGCCTACCCCAGCCTGGCCATTCAAAGACTTCATCCTTGGACCACAGTAGACTGGGGGAAGGTTGGAGAGCATGAATATAAATGATGTCAATGAGACAATTCCTGTTTTTGCTTTTGTTTTGGCAAAAATTACTGGGAAAGGGAAACTCTTTTCCCTCCAGGGTTGCTGACTATAAGAGATCTGAATTTGGAGAATCCAGGTGCTATCAGTAGGTAAGGGCCTGGTAAGAATGACACTGTCACCAAGGGAAGAGGAGAACAGAGGAGGGAGAAGGGGAGGGGAGAGACACACACAGGGACTAAATATGTGCCTTTGACTCCAGCTAAGCCTAAAGCTAGATATACATCTGGACTTTTTATTAGGTTAACAAAAAATTCTCGTTTCTTAAGATGGTCTTGGTGGGATTCTTTCACATATATATCATATATATATGATATATATATATATGTATATATGGTCTTGCTAACTACCATAGCAGAGCATCTTGGGCATAACAGAAACCTTAGAGCCAGAGCCATAATGGGCTCCCCTTAGCTGGGAGGTGGGGACATCTGTGAATCCACATTGTGGCAGTAGGGAGACAAGCTATAGGAAGAAGCAGGCCTGACAGGATGCATCCTGACTGCAGGGCTTAGTGTCAAGATGCGTGCTAGGGAAGCATCCCACGCTCAGTCTGTTTTGCTGTAGCACTTGCATGTTTGTGTGCGATTTTAACATAAATTAGCTCAAGTGTTGTTGATAAATGGAACCATGTCAGTACGAGGTGGAAGTTGAACTGGTTCATCTGTGAGGCTGCCAGCCTGCCAACATTTTGCACTGGCAGTGTCAGAGGACAAAGGCCAAGTGCACACACACAGCTGGGGACAGCAAGCTGGGACAGAGGCAGCGTGGCCCTGTTCTCATGGCCTCTTCTTTCCCTTTGCCTTCGGGAAGCCTGGGCTCCGTGGGAGGGTTGCTCACTGCTTAGTTCCCGATCCTGTGCAGTTTTTTTTTTTTATCTCAGTGACTCTGAAGACTTCAGCTTCTCTTCATTGCTGTTTGTCAATTTACCTTATCTTTCTTTGTCTTTTTATGGTAAAGCCCTTAATTTTTAGCAAATTTTCTTTATTTGTTAGGAATTGAACATTCTTTTTAAACTATGCTGCTATTTTTATTAAGATTATTATCACCTTTGTTAGTGCTGTGGTTGCAGAGTTGCATGCTTTGAATCACATTCCTCCATCCGATTTTTCCCGTAAGTCTCGATTATTTGTGGTTTGCAACTTTGCAGAAAGTGTGCTGCTCTCTTTCCCCTAGGAACACATATATCTTGTTATTGCAGAAACACCTGCATTTTTAAAACAGAGCAGGATAATAGCTATGGATGTGCTGACCCTAGACTATATTGCCTCCATTTTCATTAATTCCCTCACTTTCATATGGCATTATCAAGGTTCCACCTGCCACCTTGTAATTTTCTTGTCTGATAATAAACATAAAGAACTTGCACCTGATTTCTGAGTTGCGCTCAGAAGTCTGTTTGGATCCCCAAATCCAATTTTCAACCCAGGAGACCTAGCACATGTTCCTCCTCTTAGCATCAAGGAGGGGGCCTCTCAGCAAACCTTGCACACCAACAATGCAGTGTAAGCAGATGCTACAAACTGTAAAGGAGGCAGGATGCAGGCAGCTGGAAAATTGTGCTACAAAAATAAACACCCTGTTTCTGCAAATTGGGCAACTCTCATTAGCCCGAGGAAGCTCATTTTCATGGTTAAGTAGTTAAGCGGCTGATTAAAGGCAGAAGACCATTTAGGCACCTGTTTATTTGTGCATTTTCTTTCCATTTTTAATTTTTGCCAGGAGATGGCGCTCTTGAACTCACTATGGTCGAGGATCCCTTAGAGCTACAAGAAAAATTCAGCACCTGCAAATACTTCCTCTGAAATGGAGAAAATGACTTGGACTTTCCAAGGGAGAGAGGAATGCAATTTAAAAACCAGTTAGAAACCAAGTGGCTAAGAAGAAATTAATACCACCATCATTTTTAAATTTTGAATTTAAAAAATTCAATTAATGCTGATTAGCAATGAGGGCAGGTACAGTCCCAATGTCGTGATGTTAAATCATAAAGTAATAATATTTTGAAGTGAAGAAAAAGGCATTTGAGGAGGAACTAGTTTTAGACCTTACCATATTAGAATAAAGACAGCTTAGTATACCAGAGTGTGGTAGAGCTGGATTTAAATCTCAAAGGCAAATGCCACATAATACAAATAGTACAGTAGTAGCTTACATCCTTCAGACATGCTTTCTTATGTGATCAGAGGTCTAACTCTGTATTCCAGGCCAGCCTCGAATGTGCTGTGTATTTCAAATTGGCCTCAAACTCAGGATCCTCCTGCTCTGGACTCCTGAATGCTGAGATTGAGGTGTGGGCCAGCATGCAGGCTCAAATACTGCTTTTTAGGCAGTTTTGACCTATATTTGAAGAGTTAGCTCTAGAAACTGTGGTGGCTCAGGGTATGAACCTTACCCTGAGATATGGGTCGAAGAGAATGGTAATCCAAAATGGAAACATAACAAACACGCATGATGGCTTGTCATGTGCCGGGTTCTTTGGGAGGTACTCTGAATGCGTTATCTCATTTAATCCTACAACATCAGGAGATGGTTATTCTTGTCATGTTTTACAGATGAGAAAACAGAACTTGCCCAAGGCCAGACAAGTAATATTTATCACAGCTAATAAATGATTCAGCTGGCTCCAGAACCCACACTGTTAGTTACAGTGCTGTCAGTTCTTACCCATTTTGCTTCCGGGTTTGCTACTTTCTCTTTGGTGCTTAAAACCTTCTGAGGGCTTGCAGAGGCTTATGCCCACAGCATAAAGTCCAAATTACTTAGCCTGATAAAGTCTTTTACAAATCAGTTTCAAGCAAGAGTAGGTTAGAGACATGGCAGGCATATTTTCTAAGGCCATGCCTCACCAATGGCCATCTCTGAAACTGTTCTGCCATACTTGAATATTCATTCATAATCTATTTATAGGTTCCATTGTTAATCCATATATTAAGTGTTATTAAAACTGAATTTATTTTTAAATTTAAACACATTCTCTATAGTGTTGACATTTCCTTCCCACACTCTAGTGGAAAGGCTTGTTTGGTGGAAAATCCCTTTGTCATACACTCCGGTGAGAACAGAATTTCTTTCATCTTACAAGGTCTGTTTGTGTCACTTGCCCTCTGAGTGTCCTCAGGACAGCATCTTCTACTTCCCTCACTTAATTGTCTCCTAAAACTCCAAAGAAAATAGATAATGGTTCCAGGAGGAAATACTGCTGGGCTTTGAGTCTCCCAGCCGGTATTAAAGCATTATCAGCATTTGTTACAAACCCGCTACACCCATGCTTTGCACAAGTGTTCTTGGCCTCAGGTCATTATTTTATGACATTTGTTAAGAAATATGCTTTATTTTTCAGTCAGAAGTGTCTTCCCTTGTGAGTCTCTCTCATTTTGTTTTGCTCTGTCTTGGTTGGATAGAAGCTTGGTTCACTGGACATGGGCCTCGGGTTAATGTTTAAATAATCATAGCTGGAATGCAGGCTGATTCTGGTTATTTGTATACTACTAATGGTAAAAAGACAAAATTTAAAATCTAAGGTGAGTTAAAAGGGTCAGCAAAGAACAAATATAAACAAAGAACAAGTGTAGAATGAATTTAGTTATATTACAAAAATTACAGATTAACAATACTTTAAATTCAGTTTTTCCTATTCTTTGAGGAGTTTCAAAAGTTATTGTCCATTATTCCCCAAAGGAGCTTTTTCAGAAGGGCACTTTATCAGGCCCTCGACTTCTGTAGCTCACCGTGAGCATTGCCTTCCTAGTCTGTGTCTTCCGAAATCATAAGTGCTGGGGTGTGGTTTCCACGGTTCATCTAGAGTTAGGGTGTGGTGCTCAGCGGTGCAGGTAGGTGGTGCCTTCCCAGAGGAGGAAGGAGACTGACCAAAGAATGCAGCACAGCGAAATAAAAGGGTACAATTTCCAAACTAAAGGGAAAAGGTTAACACTAGGAAACAGTGACATTTCCTCAAAAATGAAACCTGATGTTACCATTTGATCAGCCATGGCACCTTTGCGTATGTCCCCCCAAGAATTGAAAGCAAGGTCTCAAGAGTTATTTGTATCCCAAGGTTAATTGCAGCACTCTTCCAAACAGCCCAGGGTAGAAGCGACCTGAGTGTCAGTGGATGAATGGATACCATGTGATACTTCCACACAATGGACTACTATTCAGCCTCAAAAAGAAATGAAATTCTGACACATGCAATAAGATGAATGTACCTGGAGGACATTATGGCGAGTAAAATAAGTTCATCCAAAAGAGAACAAACACTGTATGAGTCCTCATACATGAGGTAGCTACAGTGGTCAAACTATAGAGAAGGAAAGTAGGGTGGTGGCTTCTAGGAAGCAGGGGAAGAGGGAGCTACTAATCAAGGGACCAGAATTCCAGCAGGGGAAGAAGGAAATGTTCTGGAGATGGGTGAGGACTGGGCCAGGGGGATATACTTAATGCCACTGAACTGTACCCTTCAAAACCGTTAAGATGGGAATATTGTATGTCATGTTTATTTTTTCTTAATTTTAAGAACAGTAACATTCACCCCTCCCAGGGCAGACACCTTGCTAATGGTGGCTTCTGAGCTGGGAAACCTAATCAGAAGCACCTGCCAGGTTTTCTATCCGCGAAAAGGTAGTCCCGGAAGTCATGTCTTGTAAGGGGAGCGTGGGGTGCAGCGGAAGTGTGAGGTGTCCCCACTGCTTCCCACTGTGGAGGCTGTGAAGCCGTTCTCTCTGCCTCAGTGGAGACCATTGTTGACTCATTATCAACGCAAAAGTGGAGGAGCAGGGAGGTTCCTGACCTGCGGAGTTGGGTATGTAAATGGAGGCAGAGACTGTGAAGCAATGACAACATCCAGGTTGCTCTGGGAAGGTCACCCCAGCAGGGGAGACTGAGGCAGAGCAGTGTTCACAGGGACTGTGTGCTGGCTTTCATGTTGTTTAATCACATCCATCATGCGCCAAGCCTCGTGCTGGTTCACATATAAAAGTTCATGTCAACTGCATAATTACTACAAGTAGTTGATAGTATTAAAAACCTCATTTTGGGCTGGGGATTTAGCTCAGTGGTTTCACCACCTGCCTCGCAAGTGTAAGGTCCCGAGTTCGATCCCCGGTACCAAAAAAACCCCTCAAACCCCCAAAACCAAAAAACCCTCATTTAAAAAATAGTGCATATTAATTTTACAAAATACTAGGTTTCATTGTGGCATTTTCATACATATATAATACATTGGATGGTACCCATCCCATGTTACCCTCCTTTACCCCCTCCCCCTCATTCCTTTCCTCTTGTCTAATAATAGGCTCCCTTTGACTTTCATGGTAGCTCTTTTTTTTTTTTTTAATTCTCCACATTAGGGAAAACATGTGATACTTGTTTCTTTGAGTCTGGCTTATTTCGCTTAACATCGTAATCTCCAGTTCCAGCCATAAAAATCTCCATCTCAGAGATGAGAAAACTAACCCTGAAAGGTAAAGGAACTTGCGCCAGGTCTCCCAGCTAGTAAGCAGCACAGCTGGACCTGGGCCCGGGTCTGCCCGTTCTCCATGCCAGGCCTTAGCAGCCCACCTCAAGCGGCAGAGAAAGCTGAAGTGTCCAGGGCACATGGCTGAATGAAGCCACCCTCAGGGGGACTCAGGGTGGGTCAGTGGACCCTGCCTGGTCAGCAGTCCTCTCTGGTCCCCATGTCACCAGAACAGTGGTCTTTGTAGAATCACTGAGAGGGGCACCTCTGTATCCCACCTGAGCCCCGATTCTGAGCCTCCACTGCCAAAAGAGTGACAATCCCTGTGGCCAGTAGGACAGTCTTCTACCTCAAGGCTGGTGGAGTCGCTTAACTACATTAAGAGAAGCAGCTGGGGAGAACGTGCTCTATTTTAGAGAGCTGACCTCTCCAAGCAGCACCTTTCCCCTGGGGGACCCCTCCCGACACCTACAGACGCACCGTTCATTGCAAACCGGCTGTTTCACTGATGCAGGTCACTGAGACCTGTGCTGGGGATGGGGTTCAGCTTTATTTCAGTTAACTGTTGGTTCAGGCTTTTGGGGGAAAGATTCCAGTGGACGTTAAGTCCAAATCAGCAAGATTTCAGAGCAGGTGCCCCTCATAGGTCTCGTCGTTATGACGTCATCATGGTCTCGAAAGGCCCCACCTCCTAGTGCCGTCCCAGTGGGAATTAGATTTCAACATGTGGATTTGGGGGTACACAGTCAGACCATAGCAACCTTCTACTGATCGGAATTGTCTCCGTTTTTGTCATCCCTAGTGCAGTATGGCCTCGTGTAGAAGAGGGACTCGATACTTGCTTGCTGGACAAATGAGTGTTTTTGGTAGGTTTCTCTCTCAGGTGGGTTCCTTCGTCCTCTTCATTCCACAGCACCGAAGAAAACTAACATGTTGCTACGAGTCCCACCTACCCTGGCTCTTCGTCTGTAAAGACTGGTGGAGTAGATTGAGACGCATGGATTTTCTGCAACAATAGCAAATATCACCAAGAAAACTTGATTTCTCTCTCTTTGATGGCCACAACTTCATCTTCTCTGTTTGGAATAACTTCTGTGACTTATATGGCAGTCCAGCTCCATCTAGCTTTTAGAACTCTGGAAGTCTGTAAAGCTCACAGGGAGTCAGAGCTCCACACTTCTACAGAAGCCAAAGGACGAGACAAAGCCTCTGGAAGGTCGTCACCAAGGTTTGGAAGAATCTTTTTGGTCAGAGGCTGGGCCTCTGAATATTTCACACCTACTTGCTCTGTCAGGCTCAGATTCTCTCCTTCATCCTTTTCCCTTCCTCTTTTTCCTTGAAGCAAGACTACCTTCAGTGCTGATCCAGTGAGAGAAAGAACTTAAGTCCAACCTTAAAACTCTGCTGCTTATTATAGAGTGGAGGGATCACAGTTTGGAACAAAATTGTCTTACCTTTACTTAAGCACACACAATGTTGAAGATTATTTTCAAAGTTTCTTCCTTTTAGATTCCAGAAGTCTAGTCTACCCTACACCATAGGTGGTGAATGCTCACAGGTAACATCTTGGTTCTGCTGATCTTGTCCCATCCATCTTTGATACCAGGCTATCATAGTACTGCATGTATTCATACCTGTGATCACGTTAGTGAACTTTCTTGTATCCTTTTCCTTCATTCCCTCTACCTTTTACATTCTGATTTTACTCCACCTAATATCACACCACAAAAATCTTTCATACCTTTTACATGAGATTCAAAATTGTTATAACTTGTTCCATCGAGTGCATATGGCTGCACTTTTATTCTTTTGTTTACTAATTGTGTGACACTATTTTTCACTCCTATATATATAACATTCAATGAGTATCTTCACAAATGTAGGTTTTTAAAAATTATTTTGACTTCTCTTGGGTTAACTCTCAGTAATGGAGTGACTAAACCAGAGGATATGAATTAATCTTAATCCTCTCTCTTGTCCTTGCCCACACTGGTGTCTGCACAGGTAGCACCTCTAGATCGTGCACCAGCTCTGCCCACATGAGTTAAGCCTAACTCTGCATTTCTTTCCCAAGTAACATGTTTTGACTCTTTGTTCCAAATGCTCAAGATCACAGTTCTATTCCAACAATGTTGTCAGAGCCCAAAATAGTGTGGAAAATGTTCTGTGGAAATTGCTTTCAAAGTTATTGGCATGTTCTTTTGAATAGCCTTATTGGTGACAAAACTTTGTATATAAAAGGTAGATAATTTTCCAGAAGGAAATTAGTATCTTTGATATACTTTCTGTATTAGACAGGGTCCTTTTTGAAGCCAGAAACTGGGTCCTTACTGAGCAGAGAGTTAAAGATGATGAGAACAGTTTACCAGGTAGAGGACTGAAGTACAGAAAGGGATACTGAGCTGTCACAAAGGGAAGCAGCTGCCTTCCCTGGAGATGGTGTGGAGGGACAAAGGCAGGTTGTTGGGATTACTAAAATCGAAAGGTTCAGAGAACTTGCAGTGCTGGGACTCAGCCCTCTATGGAACAGGGACACCTAAGGCACTGGTGCCCGTAGCATGGAGCCTGGACCTGAGGCTCCACCATCCTGGGGTTCTGGCTTCTGAAGAGGTGCTGTGGCTGGTGCTGTGTTGTGAGAGGCACCAGGAAGCAGGTTCTAAGAGTGTTGAAAGGAATGATTGCAAACCGGAACCATTGCGCTCCTGGAACCAGATGCTGCCGCCAGGGTGGGGTGGTGTTGCTGGCAATGGTGATGGCAACAGGAAGCAGATGGCAAAGAGAAAGCGCTCTCCACTCCCAAGACCTTCACACTCCCTGGTGCAACCCTGGCAGGTGAGCCTGCAAAGGATCCAGCTGCGTACAGAAGGGAGGCCTAGCCTCAGAAGGGAGAGCATGGCAGACGGGAGACTGGAGCAGGACACAACAGCACAGGAATCAGCAGCCACCACACACCAGCCACTCTGGAAGTATCTGCAAACCCCTTGGTTGTCATGCTATCCCTGTGATTGAGGGCCTCCTGCCCCCTATTGTGGATGAGGAAATGGAGACCCAGAGAGAGGAAATACTAGTCGAGTCTTTAGAATGAGAACACACAACTCAGGGTATGTTCGCTGCTAGTCCCCTACATCTGGTAAGTTGAGCTTTCCTCTGGGTGACAAGAGGAGGAATTTTCTTCTTCCTGATGTGGGCCGTGATAAGGGGAAATGAAAAGGAGGAAAGGATAGAGCCAGGGAGTTGGCATAAGGTCATGCCATTTGCAAAGTCTTCCTAGAAACCCACTCCCCAAATTTTGAGGAAATTCTACCCAACTCAAGAAAAGTTTAGAGGAAGTGGATTGCTTATAGAAATTGTTAATGGACCCAAACTTGGAACCAGAGAAGGTGAGGGAAGGGACAGGACAGCATTGGTAGAGCGTAAGCCTTGCGGACATCTTGGGATATTTAATGACTTCTCTTGGGTAATAGTCTAAAGGTTTGGGGGCCTAACTGACATTCAAATGGTGCCCATTTTACACAGAAGGAGAAATCGAGGTTCAGAGAGGTTAGATAACATGATCAAGATCACAGCTCTTTCGATGTAGAACTTGAATTCAGTCCTGATCCCCACAAAAACTTCCTCTCTAAAATGGGATGGATAAGAGAAACCACAAAAACAACATTGCTCACCATTTATTCAAAATGATTTACATAGCTGGAGTTGTACAGAGTGCTTGGTTAATCTTAATTCCATGAGGTAGACATCATTACCCCTGTCTTACTGGTGAAAAGCTGGGGCTTGGGCAGGTTAAATAATGTACCCTATTCACAGCCAGTTGTAAGTGAAGGTGGAATCCCCACCCAAGCCCCCTGGTTTCCATCCAAAGCTCCCACCCAGTGCTTCACAAACCTCAATGACCCTGAGAATCCCTGGGCATCTTGTGCCATACAGATTCCTATTCAGTTCGGAGTGGGGGGCTGCTGCAGCTGATCCCTGAAGCTCGCTCTGAGGAGCAAGGCTCCTAGGGAGGCGCCATGTTTCTCCCCTCACCTGCCAAGCACACTTGAGACCCCAGGAGCCCTCTTGGGCAAGCCCAGTTGTGATGTGACACCCACCGCTTGTCCTTCTTCCTCTTCCCTTCCTTTGAAATTGTTCAGAATGAAGTAACCAAACAAATCCATCATCTGACAGGTCATTAAGGAAAACATGATTTTTGTCCCATGTGACTACACTCAATTAATGAAGCCGTCATTAAAATCTTTGAATGTGTCAAGAAAATTAGTTTCAGGTGTTGTATTGTTTTGGTTCTGGAATAATTCCTGTACTTTCAATGAGCAATATTTGAAATATCATCACCCTCCCCTTCCATCAGGGACTTACAGCACAGGATACCTAAGAAGCCTGAGATATTGGGGGTCGGATGTTTATGGGAAGCAGTTAACATCCACTCATTGTTCTCTCTTCCCATTACCATGAGAGTGTTTGCTGAGAATGTTTTCAGAGCCAGTGGAAAGAAAGACAGGGAAACGCAGCTAGTGAAAAGTGCTGACAACCTCAGAAAAAGACTCAGAGTTTTAACTGTGGATCTGCCCCAGACGGTGCCTGCCCATAAAAGGAGAGCCTCGAGAAGGGTTGATTTTCCCTCCCTAACAAAGTACATTTACTTTTCAAACTTCTGGCTAAAATAAACATTTTATTCCAAGAAGTAAATGAGGTGGGATAATATTTTGAAATAATAAGCGACATGTTTTCCCTCTGCAGTTCCCCTCCCCTCTCCATTTCCCCCCTAAGCATCTCTCAAAGGAGACCTCAGCATTCTGAACCCTCACTGTGAGGTTGCTATTGCAGCAATGCAAAATAAATAAATAAAATAAAATAAGTTGAAATAAGTGATTTTGGAGGGCTTTGGAACTTGAAAACTGAGTCTGGGTTTCAACAAGAAGTTTGTAAAGATACTCAGACTAAATTGGTTCCCCTCCCCCCCAGGCAAACTAAGTGAGCTGGAGGGTTTAGGAGTTGAGGAAGTGACTCAGGAAGGAAGCAAAGTTAATTGCTGATGGAGGTGTCTGAGAAGGAGCCCTATTTTGCCGGCAGCTTCATGGGTTAACATCCTGCAACAGGAAGGGAAAGTAATAGGATGGGAATGGCTTTGCTTGGCTGTGGGTGTGCTCCCTCCTAGGAGAAGGTGCTTAGGACTTGTTTTTGTATAACTTTGCAAATATCTTTCTTTTCTGCACATTGTGTAGGCCAGTGATTTGGTCATTTTTATTGTTGCATAACATGGTGTTGTACAAACATGCCAGAGACTGCCATTCAGTTCCTGATGAACATTTCTCATTGCTCCTCTTGCTCCTAGCTTTGGTCAATGGAATGAGGAGGAGGTGACAATGTGCTGGCCCCAGTCATGGACACAGAGACCAAGTGTGATCAAAGAATAGGGTAAATATTTAAATTAAAACACTTAGTATGGTGAAAGACACATAGCCATGAATCCCCTCAAGCCAGGTGCCTCTGCCTGCCCCATTTTTCCCATTGTTCTTGCTACATTCTGAAGCATTTCTGGAAGTCCTCTTTTATGTGTCTTTACAGGTGATTAAAAACAATGCTGCTGCCAAGTCCAGTCTAATAGAAACGCAGATTCCTAAAAAGGTGGTTTATTTTTCTCCACTGGATCTAGTACTATGACTTCTGGCTCTTCCTCAAAGTCAAAATAACCATAAGGTAAATATTTTAATTGATTGAGGACATAGAAGCAGACATGGCACTCATGAAAGAGGACTTCCAGAACTGCTTCAGAAAGTGGCAAGAGTGAGAGGGTAAGTGTGGTTGAAGCAACGGGGAGTATTTTGAGGGGGATTAATAGCAATGAATCTTTTACTATAAAGCATTTAAAAGATGTAAATATTCACTGTATTTTTCAATCATATTGCATACAGGCCCTTCATATCCTCAGGTTCTGCATCCTTGGATTCAAGTAAGTGTAGATCAGAAGTGTTCTGAAAAACAATCGCATCAGTATTGAATACATACAACTCTTTCTGTCTTGTAATTAATACTTAAACAATGCAATAGAGCAACCATTTACATAGCATTACATCCTATTATGAATTATAAGTAGTCTATAAAGCACACAGGAAGATGTGTATAGGTTAGATGCAAGTCCTATGCCATTTTGAATAAGGGACTTAGCCATCTGGAATTTTGGTATCCATGGAGGATCCTGGAAAAGTATCCCACGTGGACCCTGAAGAATGACTCTATTTCTCATTATTTTCCAAAGTCAATCATATCCACGAAGAACACATGCCCAACAAACCTGCTGTCTCAGGAGAATGAGAGATGCAGGAATAGAGCCTAGCTTTAATCAACCCAAACCTACTCAACCTCCAGATCTAGGATCAAAAATAAAGCATTGTTGTTTTAACCCAGTGAATATTTGGGGATGGTTTGCTGTACAACAAGAGCTAACTGATACAGCCTCTCTCTGTCACAGGCAATTGGATGAATGCCCAAGGCCTAGCTGGCTGGTACCTGTCCCAGGTGTCTCTGCTCTTTTGGGCCGAAACACTCCGTGAACTATGCTCCACCTTTGCAGCTGCTGCCATTATTTTTCTTCCTTTGGGACAATGACACCTTCGTTAGTGGTGAGTATGTTTGCAGAGTTGTCATGCATTGCTTATTAGTCATATGATAGTTGAGTGACTTACCACGCATTAGTTTTACATATTAATGAGGTTCTGTGTGATATTTGCATACATTCACTGATGAAACCCAACTTCTAGTAATCGCTATTCTACTTCAGGTCAACTTTTTTTTAGTTTTCACTTATATGAGAGAGAATATGTAGTAATTGTCTTCCTGTGTCTGACATACTTCACTAAATATAAGGTCCTCTAGTTCCATCCAATTTGCTACACATGATAAGATTTCATTCTTTCTCTATGGCCAAATGATATTCCATTGTGTAAACATAATACATTTTCCTTATCCATTCATCTGTTGATGAAAACCTAGGCTGATTCCATATCTTAGCTACTGTGACTAGTGCCACAGTAAACATGGGCATGCAAGTATTTCTTTGGTGTGCTGATTTCATTTCTTTTCCACATACCAAAAAGTGGAATAGGTGAATCCTAAGCTATATCTATTTTCAATTTTTTGAGGAACCTCCAGACTGTGCTTCCTAATGGTTGTACTAGTTCCTATTACCACCAACCATGTGTAAGAGTTCCTTTTGCTTCACATCCTTGCCAGCGTTTTTGTTTTTAGTAATAGCTATTCTAACTGGGGTAAGATAGTATTGCATTGTGAATTGATTTGCCTTTCTCTGATAGCTAATGATATTGAGTGTTTTTCATGTATTTGTTGGACATTTGGCAGGGGTGGAGGGAGGATATCTATCTATTCAGATTGCTTTACAGGCTTTAATTGGATTACTTGGGTTTTAGTTGTTATATTGTTTGAGTTGCTGCTATATCCTAGATATTAACCCTCTGTCAGATGAATAGTTGGCAAATATTTTGTTCCATTCTGAAAGTTTTTTTCTTTGCTCTGCTGATTGTTTCCTTTCCTGTATAGAAACTTTTTACTTTGATATAATTTCATTTGTCAATTTTTGCTTTTGTTTCTGTGCCTCTGGGTCCCTATCCAGAAAATCTGTGCCAGTATCTTGAAGTATTTCTTCTGTTTTCTTCTAGTAGTTTCATAGTTACCTTTAGAACTTTGTTCCTTTTTTTTTTTTTTTTGGTATCAGGGATCGAACTCGGGACCTTGTGCTTGCAGAACCACTGACCTAAATCCCTGGCTTTCTTTGATCCATTTGAGTTAACTTTTGTACAAGGTGATAAATAATGGTCTAGTTTCAAGATTTTGCTTGTAGATACCCAGTTTTACCAGCTGTATATTGAAAAGATTGTCCTTTATCAAATGTATGTTTTTAGTGCCTTGTTGAGAAATCAGTTTACTATAGATGTATGGATTTGTTTCTGGAGTTTTCACTCTGATCATTGATTTTATGTGTCTGTTTTTATGCCAATACCATGCTATTTTGGTTACGATAAGCCTTTATCTTTTTTTTTCTTCAGTACTTGGATCAATCCAGGGATGCTCTACCAATGAGCTACAGACCAGCCCTTTCTTTCTATTTTATATTTTGAAAAGGGTCTTGCTAAGTAGCACAAGCTGACCTTGAACTCGCAATCCTTGTACCCCAGCCTCCTGATAACTGGAATTGCAGGTGTGCACCACTGCCTTGCAAGCCTTCATATTTACTCTTGCCATAGGCCCCACAAATATTTTTTTTGCTACCAGGGAACCAACTCGGGTCCTCGCACTTGCGAGGCAGGCGGTGGAACCACTGAGCTAAATCCTCGGCCCCCCACAAATATTAAGAGTGAGCCAGCCTTCTAGATTTGACAGAGATGAAAAAACAATATCAGACTGATAAATATAGACTAAGTGGGATACCTGCCTATATACACATATATGTGTATATACATCAATACATACTTACATGCGGAGAGGGAGTATGTGTGAAGCTACATCATGATAACAAATGAAATATACAGTAAGTCCCCAACTTACAAATATTCAAGTTGTGAACTCTCACAGATAGGAGTAGATCACGCATTAGGAAAATTCATAGATCTGAACAAATCAAGGAAGGAGCTGATGATCCTTAAGCTCCAGCAACATCAGATGTTGGCCAAATTCCATCTTGCCCTCCATCTCCTATTGCTGATGATCTTTTGGCTCCACCATCTCCCACTTGCCCTCCCTCCTCTAGTTAGTAACACTCTTCTTGTCAGGTCACTCCATGCAATCCCCTATATACCATTTGCACTGTACTGTGCCACCATTTAAAGGCAACTCTAAGAGTAAAAATTATATACAGTACATTTGTGTGTGTGTGTCTGGTTTTTTTTAATGCTTTACATTGTATACTTGTGTCAAAGGTGTATAAGACTCACTGTGTAGGACTTAGGAACAAATCTGACTTATGAACATTCTCCCAGAAAGGAACTTGTTCATAAGTCAGGGACTTACTATATTCTATTTTCCTACCTTGAAAATTATATTCCACAATAATCTGGAAGACCGGGTTCAAATTTAGTATTCTTGTATCCCACAGAGTTTTATACCATAGCAGTGGTATGGAAAAAACTAGTATCTGGCCCATGCTGTGCTCCTCTTACCTTTCCACTTGCTGTGGGTTGAATGTTTGTTTGCCCTAAACTTAATATTTGAAACCGAATCCCCAGTGTGATGGTATTAGGAGGTGGGCCTTTGGGATATGACTGCGTCATGAGGGTAGAGCCATCATGAATGAGATGAGTGCCTCATGACATAGATCCTAGAGAACTGTCTTGTCCATTCTCCCATGTGATGAAACAACAGGAAGGCTCTATCTGTGAATCAGGAAGTGAGTACTCACCAGACACCCAATTCCCCAGTACTTTGGTTTTAGACTTCCCAGACTCCAGAACTGAAATATATTTCTGTTGTTTCATAAGCTATCCAGGTTGTGGTACTTTGTTATAGCAACCTGGACTGACTAAGCATCACTCTTGACTGTACACATGGCAGCTCAGGTATTCAAGCTCCTTTTGTACTCTCTGCAGAGTCATCCTTGGCCGTACCTTGAGTCTAGGCTTGGGCATTCTAATAACACCATCGTCCCTTAAGAAACAATGGAAGAGGCGAGGTAGGTGGTTTCCAGGGATATTTGGGCAGGGAACTCCAGGGTCTTGAATACCCAGACTGTGGTCTGTAAGTCAGGGGAGAGAGAGAGCAGGACTCCATGTGGGCATACTTCCTTTGCCCCACAGAGATTTGGGGAAGAGCAGAGTCCACAGGGTACAGTTTACAGATTGAGAATTTTTCTGTTATGCTAACAATACTTCACTGATGTATAAGTCTTTTACGATCACACTGTATTATCTCAGTATACTAGCTGCTAATATGCTTTTTACAATTCTTACCTAGATATTCATAAGTAAGATTAACTTTCTTTTCGATGTTACTTATTAGGTTTTAGTATTAAACTGATTACTAAATTTATAAAAGTATTTGGGAAACATTCCACATATATATTCTGGAATAGTTTGAATAATTTAGAGAGGATATATGTTTCTTGCTGGTTAATTTAGTTATAGCTTGGCGTAAAACTGAGATTGTAAAAAAGCTTCCAGTTCACTGTGTGGTCATTGATGTGTTCAGATAGTCTTTTTCTTAAATCAATTTTGTTCATTTGTATTGTGCTGGAAAAACCATCCATTTCATCTAGATTTGAAAACTTTTGACAATGTTTTATATGACATCTTTTTATTACTTTTACTATTTTCATAACTATGATTATACCTTCTCATTCCTGATATATATATGTACATATATATATCTATATGATATATATATGTGTGTGTGTATATATATATATACACACACATACATGCATATATATATCTCCTGCATTATTTTTTGTAGTGAAACTTGCTACAGTATTGGGCTTATCTATCATTTCTACTGGCATTTTTTTCTTATGATTCATTGTTTTGAGCCTTTTATATTTGTTAATTCCCTCATGTTTCTTGTAGCTTACTTTGGTTTTAATTTCTTAAGTTGAATGCTTACTTTACTTGTGTTCAAATTTTCAAATGTAATAACCAAGCAAAGAATGGGTGAAGGATGGTAAATAGGAAATGAAGCTAAGAGTTAGAGAGAAGACAGGAAGTGAGGTAGAGAGGAGATTGGGGACTTCATGAGGAGGGACTTAGAGCATTGTAACAAGTACCATAGAGTGTCTGAAGCCTGGTTGTCAGAGTCGTATGTTATAAAGCACAGCATCGGGATACCATGCCTGTCTCTGCAGGCTCTGTATTCAGCTCCTGTCTCCATTTTGGTCATGAGTATATCATAAAGAGCTTGCCACATAGTC